CAAAATATCTGGATGGGAAAACTGCCCTGAATTATGCTGCTGAAAAAAGAAAGCTTGGCCTAACTAGGTTGGATCTGGAACAGCTGTGAGCTCCATTTGATTTTGACACTGCAAATAGATTGCTAGGTTCAGAATACTGTAATTCAAAGGTTATCTCTTCTGCAACAGGCTCCAGCTAGTAGGGTTGGGAATGAGAAGGGCAGCTGTTCTTGGTCCGCACTCCCAGGTCATGCCAATCTGGACTCTGAGTAAGCAGAAGAAGAGGAGGAGGTGGGAGGGGCCTGGGAATTTGGGGCTTCAGACTTTGAGAGGGGAGAAGTAGAAGAGCTTTCTCAAGGCCACTCTTCTCCAGGTGCCAAGGCAAGATTTGGGAATAGCCAAGATGTAGAACTCTCGGGGGAGGGGGGTCATGGGAGAGGGGTTGGCTCTTGACCGCTTGGTATGGCATTGGAAGAGGAGGGCTAACCAACTAGAGGGTTGGCATAGAGAGAAAAGGCAGGCTCGCTTCCAAAAGGACCTTCCCAGAGGGATGGGGCTCAGATAGACTCAAAAGGAAGGTTCCTGGAAGTATTTGCTGTATTAGGTCCAACAACGCACTCTGAGCATACACAGAGATTCATTCTGTGGTGATTGGGTTCATTGGGTATACTTTGGTGAATAAAGAGCTTTTGCAAAGGAACCGTGTTGCCTTGAATGTGCAAAGGGAGGAAAACCAAACTCACAAATAGATCTTAATGTTCTAAGAAAAAGATCACTAATGCAGTGGATCCTGAAACCTGAAGATGGACAGCCCTGCACAAGAAGTGGGGTGCAGAGCCTCAGGCTCAGGGGACAAATCTAGCTTTCCAATGTGGTCACTTCTGAATCACAAAAAAGGAGGAAGCACATCACCAAAAAAGAGGATAGTAATTTACATAAAATTTCCACATGGTCATTTATATATACAGATGCAAATTTAGACATAAATGCTATTATTTAAAGATATCTACAGTACAGTCTGTTTCATCATAGTGTGGAAGATGGTTATCAGGTGACTATGTGTCTGCTTGCTCAGTCTACTAGTCAGATTATTTCTGCTGATGGGCAACAGTTCTTATGGTTCCTTATTTTTAAACCAGAACTGGACAATAGAGACAGTCAAATAGAAGGTGCCTTCAAACAGACAGACCTTTGTCAGACTTTGAAAAATTAGACAGTCCTCCGTAAAAGAGGGTACATGACCACAGTAGACCATGACCTGTCCTCCAAATGGCCATGTCTCTTTGCCCAAGATCCCTTGCAACCCCTGATCATCTGGTGGATTTCTGTCCCTTTGCCCCTGCCCCAGTTCTCAAAAGTTGAAATGCCTCACCTAAGGCTTGGTTCCTGGCAGTAAGAGATCTAAGCTCTAACGTTCTGTATTTTTAGCCCACTAGAACACAATCCCCGAGAGCTTCTCTGAATTAGAATTTGGCCCTCAGACTGAAAGAGGATCTGTACCCCTGCTGTAAATGCTGAAGTGATGGGCTATGAATGAGGGTCCAAGAACACAGAGGAGGAGCAGGCGTATTACCTGTGGGTTCAGTGCTTCCTTCAGTCACAACCAAGCAGATCCCGGGTTTTACTCATGACCCGCCAAGACTGAAGGTTTGCTTGGAGACTCCTGATGTCAGCCAGCCTGGGAAGCGTTCGCTCTTCCTTGGTGCAGGTGTGAGGACCACTCTCTGTTGCCCTGCCCCTAACGGGTGTTGGTGCCTCTCTGTAGTTCATGTGCCTGACAGCCTGCTCTCCTCAGGGTTTCGGCAAATCTCATGCTGCCTCTTTTGTTTCTCCATGGGATGAGCAAGGAAAAGAGATGCTTGCCCAGAGGTGTGCCTTTTGTTTCCCTTGTGGAAAAGTGGTCTGGGTCAGGGGATGAGAAGGTGGCAACTGATGCAGACTTTGTCGAGGACTCAATGTCGCCTGGTGGATCTGGCAAAAAAGATAAAGACAAGCTCTCAGTGGGTAGGATCTAATGGTTCTGCTTTAACATCCTCCCTGCTTTGAACCTCTAGTTCAGTCTGTCCCGATGTAGGGTCTTCCAGATAAGTTGAACTACAATGTCTATCATCCCCAACCAGCACCCTACATAAATCCCTTCTGTAAGCAATCCCAGTCCCCCATTGCTTCTGTGTATGCATGTGACACACCAGATGACACAAGCAACTCCCCCCAACACACAACCTGCAGCTCCTCCTTTTGAAAGGAGATTAAGGTTTACAAAACACCTTTAAGCTCAAAAGCTCTGCTGCCGCCTCATCCCATCCCAGGGGCAGCTGGGAAACATCAGGTGACGCCTGTGAATTCTACAGCTGCTGTCGGGAGCCAGGGGAATGGGATCCAGATGTGGCAACATCTGGGGAGGACTACCACATGGGGGATGGGGTTGTGAGGGTGGCTAATCCCTCTCGCCTTTGAAACTGAAGGAGCTCCAAGCCCCCCTCCCTTTCCTCCACCAATCCAGCCAATCTAGCCTGAACTGGGCCCATCCTCTCCACCTACCCTACCCAGCATATGCATCTCCATCATGGGGGGAAGGACTACGTCGGGGCAGGAAAATGAACAACCCTCCTCTGCTAGAGCAGCTGAGAGGGACTGCATATAGGGTTGGACTGAATGATCCACGATCACAGGGTGTGTGTATACACACATGCGCATGCATGCATGTGTTTCTGTTTAATCCGCGGATGTCTCCTGACCTGCTAATGGGCAAAGGAGCCAGATGAGACCGGCGTGCAGGAAAGAGGCAGAGTCAATAGCCCAGGATTATTTAGCAAAATGGATAGCTGAGTGGAAGGGAAGATGCAGGACTGGGGCAGGGGAAGGGAGAGGGGGGCTCTCTCCTGCCTTACATGTGGCGCTGGAAGCCTAGTGAACTCTAACCAGTTAAGACAGAGGGGTCAGACTGGGCCTTCTTGGCCTGGGTCTGTGGGATGAGAAGTCTGAGATGCTGCCCTGTCACTCTTTCTTCACCCAGGTACAGCAAGGGCAAGGGCCCCGGAACCTGTTGTTCTCTGGCTTACAGGAGGGCGAGGTTTGAGAGTCAGGGTTTCTTTAGCAGGGGAGTGGTGCCTAGTGGCTAAGCAAATAGCTTTTCAGAGAAAGTTAAGCCTGACCCGTAGGCTATTTGCATAAGCATCCTTTTTCCCACCATGCCCATCGCGTGACCTCCCGCCTTCCCGTGTGAAATGGTGGGGGGTGTGGATGCCTGTTGTGTGAAGCTGCAGGCACTCCTCACATGCAGGCAAACCAGCCCCTGCTCCGAGGAGGTATGCGTAGCTTAGCACCAGGCAGGCTCTGACCTGCCACCTCCCAGCCTGAACACTGATCAACAAGCAGGAAGCTCTGGTTTCATTAAGGATGTCCACGGTTATGGCCTGCAGCTTCCAGACAAAAGGCTTCTGATATCCTCTTAATCCCCCCCCCCCCCACATACACACACACATTTGATAAGGTGTCAGGGAAGGATCCGGGCATTTCCAGTGACTTTGGCAACATTGGTTGCATGGGTTACTACTTTCGCAACTTGCTATATCAAAACCCCTGCTTCAGGAGAGCCCCAAATTCT